TATTATGATCATATGTTGGCTGAAGGACAAAATACTCCTCCGCATCAATACGAAACAGTAATATCTGTTAAGAGAAACAGAAAATAATATACAGATTTTTAGATCTTTGCAAAGTAAATACAACAAAGAAACATATCTTAAGAAATGTGAGTTAATTGGATTTAAATCTGCATAGTTTTCCACACTTTTTATCCTGAAGATTAGTGAAATACTAAAGATGTTTTTGGAGAAGATCAACAAAGAGTTTTCATTCATTTTAATAGTGGAATTGTTGATTGGATTTCAATCTGCTTATTTTTGTTCATTCTTTTACAATTTGCCTTGTGTTTCGTTCCGTTATGAGACTTTGGTAGATGTATACGTGGCCCAAATTGCGCTGTTTTCTGGAATGTAGATTAATCCTTGAACTATGAAAGATTAGAGCTTAATCTCCGGATTTTGATTACCGAAAGTGTCTGTTTTCAATGAAATTGCACCACCGTCTCGCGCTCAGTTTTGTAACTTTCGGACAATGTTCGTTATCGAGTTACGAATGATTAGGAATTTAAAGAAAAAAAATAATAAAGAACGTGCCTTTGACGTGCAAATTCAAGTACATTCAGTTGAAATTTTCCAATTTGTATTTAATTACCATTTATTTCTTTCATGCTAAATTATGAATGTTCCACAAACTAAGTTTTGTCTTTTCACAATTGAAACAATAATAATTCCACAATCTTATTTTCGTAAATTTGTAATCAAAATATATATTTTTTTTTAATTTTTGTGAATTAATTACAGTCTTAATTTCCTTAAATTTGATGGCAAATTATGGAAAAATTTGTATAAAGTCGTAGCTTTAATATACAAATCTGTTATTTTTTTTTATAGATTTTCTTTTTAAATATTCTGCGCTTTTTCATGTTCAATGAATTCAAATAATATCGTAAAAGTACACTCAAGTAATTGTTACATTCGGATTTGAAATTTACATCTAATTTTGTTACGATTTTAACAGTTTTCAAAAAAAAATAATTGTAATAGAACATCAACATTATTCCATATTACAACTTTTCACTTTGATAAACTATGAGACAAATCAATAATCTAACTACTTCAAAAAAAAATTTTTCATTAGAATATATCTGTATATAAAATGAAGAGTTGTTAAAGTACTGAAAAATAATGAAAAACTTGAAATTTTTGATAATGATCAAAATATGTATTTATCGAAATTGGTCCAAAAAATCGAAATTCTTCGTCGATGCCGAAAAAGTCGACCTTATGGCGCATCGGAATGCGGCGAGGCGCTGCGCGGCTGGCAAAGAGATCGAGAGTAGATTTCGTAATTAATAAATGGTACAGAGGAATGCTGTAAAGTATTCTATTAATTTAAATGATTGTATATTTAAAGTGGAAAACGTGCCGTCGTCTCTCCTTCGTTCCTTCTTTGCCCATATGGGACGAACGAGCAAAACGAGGCTAAAAACCAAGGAGAGACGAAACAAGATGAGAAACAAGATGCTGTGATCTTGTGAGAGGGGACGAGACGAGACGAGTAGTAAATATCAAACATTATTATTACTTTTATATTGGCCGGAATGAGAAATAAGCCATCACTTGCGAGCCACATAGTGCGTACATTTTCGAGCGTTACGCAATGGACACACACACATATAACCAATCTCCTGGTTGGCATGTGTTTGTATGTGTGCGTTGCGTTGCGTATGGAGAACGCACATTCCGATGCGTTCGTGTCCCTCATTTCTCCAACAATTTATTTTTATTTTATCCGTTCTTTTCTTCTCTCTCTTTTCGGTTCTTTTGGTACAAAACCGCTGCACTTCTCTTTGCCCCAAAATCCGAACTCCAGTTCCCAGCACTTGGGTTTCTTCTTTCTCTTTTCTTTCTTCTTTCTTCATTCGTTCCATCTCTCTTCGATTCCTTCCAAAATAGAAGAAAAAAAGACACGCACGCACACGCTCACCATTCAGTCTTTCAATATTTCTCCATTCAAACCGACGACGATAGTATCTGTCCAATTGTCAGATGGAGTTCATTCAGTCCCATTGGACTCGTTTACCAATTCATAACTTCTTCACAGTTTTTTTCCCTCTCTCTCTCTCTCTCTCTATCTCTTCATTATTCTTAATCCGTCCGCTTCTGTTCCAAACTACAAATCTTCACTTTACTTTGTACAAAACATTCAGCAAGATTTGACCAATAGCAAATTCACAAACAACAAATTTGTTTGTTATCAAAAAAAACACTTATCAATTTGTAATTTTCTTAGAAACCGTTAAATAAGTTAAACTTCTCTAAATTATCTTAATTGAAAAATAGAAAACTCAAGAATATATATTGATTTATATTCTACTTAATTAAACTCAATGAAAAAAACTTAATTTGTTACTAATTCTTAATACTTTTCACTTCAAGATTTAAAACTTGAATCATCAATTTAATGTTGGCATCAGTGATATAGAAATAGATTAAAGAATAGGTCCAAGTACGCTTCCTTGGGGAACAACAAAAATCATTCTCTTAAAATGATAATATTTATATTTCTTTAAAACTAATTTTTGTATGTTTATAAAAAATCAATCCATTATATTTTACTAAAAAAGCATAATCTAAGATTTTTCAAAATATTTTACAAATTTTTATATTTAATTTCTCGAAACTATTCGTTACTTTTTGAAATACTCAAATCAAATCAAACTAACCATGAAACAATTGAACTAAGCGACAAATAAAACAATTGCGTATTGTTCCCCGTCTCGTTTTTTTTATTCACAAGGCGCGATGACAATACTTTAATTTATTTTAATTAATTGCGTCCGTGTTTCAAATCCATTTACTTGGAGAGAAAAAAAAAACAGAACAAAAAAGAATTAAGCTAAACACTGTGTAAGTATAATACGCGATTCAATTAATTGACTTAACTAGCTTTTGTCTCTAAACAAGAGAAACAAAAGGAAATAATACAACTGAAAAAAACAAAACAAATTAATTTTGTCACTTTGCTTTTGTTTCGTTTCCTAAACAACAAAGATTTAAAAGAAAGAACAAAAGAAGTATGATTAAATTAACAATTGAAAATTATCTTTTTTTTTTAATCTTTCTCTAAATATTGAGCTTTGCAAATTTAGAATTTTTTCTGTTAATTAGTTAAGAAATAAAGTACGCAAAATTTCAACCTTAATCAAGAAATTACTTATTAATTTTACTTATTTTTGATGTTTAGTACTAGAAAACAACCATTGAAAATTTAGATATAATTCACTTATTCCCAAAGATCAGAGATCAACAAACAAAGTGACGATGATTTAATTAGCGCATGGAAATTAATGGCATAATTTTAGTATTTAACTGTAATCGAGTCAGAATGTATTCATAAGAAATTGGAGAAAATGTTGTAGGTGTGAAACTAAATTCAATTTTCGGAGGTCAACAAACGAATGGCACACATTTGCAAATACGCCCATTGTTTCTACAAATCTATTGCTTTTTGGATATTCGTATTAAATATAACAAATAAATTTATTGCTATAACTTCATTTGTATGTAGTGAAACTACAAGAAAAACTGTGATAAATATTAAGTTTTAATTGATTATAGAAAACTGTATTAGTTAATTTTTGATTGAGTTGTACTGATTGCAAATCTTAATCCAATTAAACTAGCATCTTACAATTTGGTGTAATCTGTTTGGTTTACTTAAATGTCTGTTAAATTCGCTCGTTTATTGGAAGTCTAAATTATCTATCACACTTTTAGAGAAATAAGAAATAAACTAAAGATACAGAATTCGTCAAAATTTGAATTTATATTCCATAAACTATAATCTTTGTTTCTACAAATCTATTGCTTTTTGGATATTCGTATTAAAGTTCTAGTTTATTTGTTATATTTATTGCTATAACTTCATTTGTATGTAGTGAAACTACAAGAAAAACTGTGATAAATGTTAACTTTTTGATTGATTATAGAAAACTATGTCAGTTAATTTTTGATTGAGTCTAGAGTCTAGACGTTGTACTGATTGCAAATCTTAATCTAATTAAACTAACAGCTTACAATTTGGTGAAGTATTAAATTCGCTCGTTTACAGTGAATAGTTTGGCTCCAATTAGTCCGGATTCATTATAAATTCTAGCCAATCATTCCCTTTATATAATTGTGCGGTTTATTTTTATACATTTGTAGTTCTCGTTTAGTCCGGTTTCCAAAAGATTATCCGAACCATACGAGATACAGCAGTATTCATATCATACAACGACCCAAGAAAAAGTAACAAATTCCTCGAGGTTAATAATAAGTGGAAGATTTGTATGTTTGTATCCAATATGTTAAAGTCTGGTTAAGTACAAGAATTAATTGCGAGCAGACAGCGAGCGAATTTTTCTTCTTCTACGTCGTTGTTGTTGTTTTACTTCTTTTGTTTTATTATTTTTTGGTTGCTAGTCAAGTGGAGAGAGAAGAATTGATGCGGGGACTCCGTTATTGCATTTTACATGTCGGCTCTCTTGTTCGGAATTACATCATTTGCATCGTGCGAATTCTCATCTCCGTCTCATTCCCACTCTCATTCAACCAATATATCTCTTTCTCTCTCTCTATCTCCTCGCCTATAGTTATGTAGCCGTTTGTTCCCATTCCGCATATCTAATATTTATTGTTGCTAATCCTTCGGATTTACTCTCTTTATCTCTTTGTACATCTGTCCGATTCTTGCGCACATGGGAAATACGCCCACGCTTCTTTGATCGGAGAAGGAGAGAAGCCGGATGGCATTTGAGAAAAATTGAAGCGGTGCCACAACAACAGCAACAGCAACAATAATAATGATAAAGATTCTACGTACATGCCGCAAAGCTATAATAGTATAAAACCGCTTTATATGTTCTGAGAGTTTCAGAGGTCTTGCGATCTTCTCTTTGCAATGATATAGTTAATAGTAATCGACGTTAAGAACGAGATTATGTAATGCCCTGAGAGCGAATTGTTTGGTTACTCACTTGGTGTTCGCTTCCGGGATGATGTCGTCCACGACGACGTAGATCATCGCTCCTGCGGCGAAGGAAAGGGCGTATGGAAGTGCGGGAGTTGCAAGACCCACGGCGACGGCGCCCAAAACGCCGAAGATTGGCTCCACCATTCCACTCAATTGACCATACCTGAAACAAAGAAGTACACTTAAGTTTTAGAAATTTGCTAGTGATCTTACTTTATTCTCTACATTTTTAGCTTTAATTTGACTATTGGAAGTCCGAATTATCTATCACACTTTTAGAGAAATAAGCAATAAACTAAATATACTGAATTCGTCAAAGTTCACATTTGTATTACAAAAACTATAATCAATTCACTGTATTTACACATAAGACTACTTAAGTAACATGAGATGCATTAAGTAACATAAAATGTATATTCGCCAAAATGTTAAGATCAAGTTAAATTGAGAAGAGAATCAATGTGAAATATGCAGAAGTGTTATGAATGAATGTAAAAGTAAGTTTACTTTATTCTCTACAGGTTTTACTTTAATTTAAGTATTGAAAGTAAAATTTACTTATCGTACATTTACAGAAACATGTAATAAACTAAAGGTATTATAACAACGTTCAAATTCTTTTTTTACAAACTATATTCAATTCACTGTATATTTTGACTATTGGAAGTCCAAATTATCTATCATACTTTTAGAGAAATAAACTAAAGATAATGAATTCGTCAAAGTTCATAATTGTATTCCAAAAACTATAATCAATTCACTGTATTTACACATAAACTTAAGACTACTTAAGTAACATGAAATGCATATTGTTACTTAAGTAACATAAGATGTATATTCGCTAAAATGTTAAGATCAAGTTAAATTGAGAAGAGAATCAATGTGAAATATACAGAAGTGTTATAAATTAATGTAAAAGTAAGTTTACTTTAATTTAAGTATTGAAAGTCCAATTTACCTATCGTACATTTACAGAAACATGCAAAAAACTAAATTATAACAACGTTCAAATTTATTTTCTACAAACTATTTTCAATTCACTGTNNNAATTTGAACATTATGTTTCCCATTTTACAAAGAATCAATGTGAAATATACAGAAGTGTTATGAAATATTATTCTCTACAGATTTTAGTTTAATTTAAGTATTGGAAGTCCAATTTACTTATCGTACATTTCATAAAACATGCAATAAACTAAAGGTATTGAATTATATAAGATTCAAATTTATTTTTACAAACTATTTTCGTTTCACTGTATTTACACATATACTTAAGACTACTTAAGTAACATAATATGTATTGTCGCTATAATCTTAAGATCAAGTTAAATTGAGAAGATAATCAATGTAAAATATGCAGAAGTGTTACGAATGAATGTAAAAATACTTTATTCTCTACAGATTTTACTTTAATTTAAGTATTGAAAGTCCAATTTACCTATCGTACATTTACAGAAATATGTAATAAACTAAGGTATTATAACAACGTTCAAATTTATTTTCTACAAACTATTTTCAATTCACTGTATATATACATATACTTAAGACTACTTAAGTAAGATAAAATGTTTATTACTTAAGTAACATAATATGTATTTTCGCTACAATCTTAAGATCAAGTTAAATTTTACCAATTAATTACAAAATTTGAACATTGTGATTCCCATTTTACAAATAATCAATATGAAATATACAGAAGTGTTATGAATGAATGTAAAAGTAAGTTAACTTTATTCTCTACAGATTTTACTTTAATTTAAGTAATGAAAATCCAATTTATTTATCGTACATTTACAGAAACATGCAAAAAACTAAATTATAACAACGTTCAAATTTATTTTCTACAAACTATTTTCAATTCACTGTATATACACATATACTTAAGACTACTTAAGTAAGATAAAATGTTTATTACTTAAGTAACATAATATATATTTTCGCTACAATCTTAAGATCAAGTTAAATTTTACCAATTAATTACAAAATTTGAATATTGTGATTTCCATTTTACAAAGAATCAATGTGAAATATACACAAGTGTTTTGAAATATACCAGTAAGTTTACTTTATTCTTTACAGATTTTACTTTAATTTAAGTATTGAAAGTCCTATTTATTTATCGTACATTTCATGAAACATGCAATAAACTAAAGGTATTTAATTATATAAGGTTCAAATTTATTTTCTACAAACTATTTTCAATTCACTGTATATATACATATACTTAAGACTACTTAAGTAACATAATATGTATTGTCGCTACATTCTTAAGATCAAGTTAAATTTTACCAATTAATTAAGAAATTTGATCATTATGACTCACATTTTACAGAAGTGTTATGAATATAACATTAAGTTAACTTTATTCTCAAAAGAGTTAACTATAATTTAAGTATTTCAAGTTTAAATTATCTCTTATACTTTTGTAGAAATATGTAATTTGAACAAGTTCAAATTTATATATTTCATAACCATTTTTTTTTCTATTCACTGTAGATGTACATACATTTTATGTAAATCAAGTAGCCTTACTATACACCTATAATCTTAAGATCAAGTTACACGTTAATCTCTGCGAATTACATAATGTAGCATAGAATTACATAAAAATAATCATACTTTAATCCGCATTACCAATATTTTCTTGACATAAACTACTTTTTATTTCCTATAAGCTATAGGTATTCATTTACATGCAAATTACACTAAATAGTTTGAAATATAGAAAAAAAAAATTATTTAAGAAGAAATAAACTATTTTGCTATTCATATAATTATAAATTAAAGAGCACTAATTTCATGCGAATTACACAGAAATTTAGCTTCGATTTGAGTATGTTTCAAATGTAATTAACACACTTTTCGTGAAATACGTTTGAAAACTAGTTAGTGCATATACTCATAAATTTTATGTGTTCATTTTATTATGATTTATTTAGAAATTTTCATTTTTTTTACTTAATTTCGTTACTCTTTTGACCCAAATATTATTTTCATCGGAATTACACTGAAAATCATACTGAAATTCTAATATTTCTGTAAAATATTGAACTGAAAGTTTATTTTATCAAATCTTGAAAATATTTAGAAATAAATTGTGTAATATTTCAATGGAAGAGAAGTTAATCAAATAGGATTAGTTGCATGTAATTAGTATTGCTAAATTAGCTGAAAAACTACTGTTGTTTAATTAAATTAAAGTGTTTTTTATGCAGGACAAAGTTAAATGCTGAATGGAAATCGTTTTATAGTTTGTCAAGATATTGACTGTTAAGTAAATTTGTAACAAATCTTGTCTATATTTGGATAGGATTACTAAGAAAGTGGTGAGCATTAGTAAAACTTAAGTAAATCATGTGTCGGATAGGATATCTTCGGGATTAGCTGTTGCTCCCAAATACAAAAAAAAATAATAATATATAATGTGTGTAACTTAGAAGAAAAAAACAGAGAGGAAAAAAAAGGTTGAAATCGATTCCAATGAGCTGACGTAAACGTGCGTGGACAATCGGGACAAGCTGCCAGAGAGTTCTTAAGAAATTTATTAAGGATGGACGCCCACGCATACACCACACACATGAGGAAAAGAGAGACGGAATTGTGAAGACCGGCGAGAATTTTCTCGCGCTTGTGTCACAGTTTATAAATAAATTTTAGCGAAAATCTCGTTTCGAAACTGAGACGTTTTTTCTTTTTTTTGTCAGGAAAAGAATCAACAAAAGCAAAAAAAAAGAAAATAACAAACGCAAAGAGGAAGAAGCCTCCTCCGCTATGTGGGGGGGGGGAGGAGACGAAAAGTCTATTCCAAGAGGCGTGTATAAATATTGTCTCGGACGAAAGAAAAATATTTAAACAAAGTGGCGGAATGCGGCCAGGCCACCACCACAACCGAAGACACGTAGATCTCACAATTCCTTCCTTCATCATCATCTTCCATCCTTTCCCTTCTCAAACCTCGCCCATCTCTTCTTGCCCAACCGGCCGACATATTTACACACACATATTTCTTCTGCACAATTTTCCCATTCACCAAAATCCACCTCCAATTTCTTCGTTTTTTTTTGTTGTTCTCTCCGTTCGTGTGTATTTAGGATAGTTCCGTTTCGAGAGTTCGTTAAGCTAATCGCTTAATAAATCCCATTCCGTTTGTTAATTTGAATAAGAAAGTTCCGAAACTTTTTTAGCCGACAACAACAACAACAAATCTCGATATCATCGGCAAAGATCCAAGCTTCTTTTTTGTGTGTTATTGTTGCTTTTTTTTTCGTTAGTTAAACAACCGTCACGGTTAAATAATGCACTTTATAACCCCGACGACGACTAATGACCATTGAGCAACTTCCTCGACGGCGTTATGCAAACGTTTCGATTGTTCACGGGATTGCGAATCCAGTGGAAATTGCATCGAAGATGGGAACGAACGAACGAAAGAAAACAACAACAACAAAAAAATGCTTACGTGTGCAATTAATTTGTCGCAACACCCGAGACGCCTCTTCCAAATCAATTACACATCTCTATGTACCCTGAACATTCCATTCACAATTCATCATCAGATGCAACAAAAACTCAAACTAAAAATATTTTATCGAAATACAATTCATATCTTTACATCTAATTACAGGAAAATCTATAACAATGTTTGAATACATTTTGCAATCCTCAAATATTCAACTTTCATCATTTGGATCCATTTCATCTATTATACATTCTGAGAAAATCAATAAGTTGTAAAAGCATCGCCTTTTTGAAGCGTTAATTTTATCAATTTTTCAATGCGAATTACAGCTAAATAGACAAAACCACAGTAATATATAAAAACTTACTACATTCCCTAAACATACTACTTTCAAATAGATCTTTTGAATCGATTTCATTTCTTATACTTTCTGAGAAAATCAATAAGTTGTGAAAGTATCGCCTTTTTGGAGGCGTTCATTTTATTAATTTTTGAACGCGAATTATAGCCAAATAGACAAAACCACAGTAATATATGAATACTTGCTACATTCTCCAACCATTCAGCTTTCATATGCATCTTTTGAATTCCTTCTATGTATTACAGTTTTCGAGAAAATTAATGGAATGTGAAAACACTGCTTTTTCGAGCATTTTTTTAACTTTGAACACGAATTACAGCCAAACGGATAAAACCACACTAATA